CCCCATATTAAACTGAAATAATATTTTAAAATCAGTTAACTTTATTTTTATTTTTCCAGTGGCCCTAATCCTCTTCCATACTTAAGAGATTTACCAAGCAGTTGCAGTTTTAATATACATTGTGGTACTTTAACGGTCCTTTAAAAAAAAAGAAAAGGAGAAAAAAAGCAAAGTCCAGCAGGGTCAAAAGCGACAGAGTGCAGCTGGGCTGAGGTAGGCCTGATACCAGGAAAATAAATAGACATTGAAAGCAAGCAGCAGCCTCCTCAAAGTGACACCTCCTAACTGATCTAGAGGCCACATTCAGCCCCTGCTTTATGTAACCTGCTCCCAGACACAGCTTCTATGTTAGGATTAGCAGTGAACATTGGCTCCAGGGTGCAGAGAGGGGCTGACCACACCAGGCCTGCTGCCTGTAAAGCAGCGCCGGGGCGGTGGACTGAGCTGCCCGCTGCTCACACACTGATCACCGGGGAGCCTGTTCCACCCGCCCTGGATGTTAGACAGCTTCTCCTAGAAACAGCCAATAAAGGAGCTGATCGGAGCATACATACCATGGCATCTGTCAGGCCAATGCTTGCCGCAGCCTGATGTGCAAAAAGCCGCAGAAAGAAAAAATTGTAGGTAAAGCTGAGGGCTTTCTGTGGCGTGGTCAATGGAAATGAATCCCCATCACAGATCTCTGGATTCTCGCCCTTTTTTTATTGTTGCATTTTAAAAACGCCGGGAAGAAATCAGCATGTCCTTGGTTAGTCTTACAAAGAGATGTTTGGTAGAAAACCAAACCATGAGCTGCAGCAGTCTTCCTCTGGCTTCACCACGTTGCTTTTTCTCTCATTATTCTGCCCATTGTTGTGGCCGCATCATAACGCAGGGCCGGCGGCAGACAGCAGCAGACTTTGTTCAATCGCTCTCATGTCTCCTTTGAAATGTGCTCCTGCTGCAACATGGATCCTTCATGTCCTGGGAAATGCTCAGAGCCGATCGCGCGTGTGAAAGTGGGATTTGTGTCAGCTTTCCGATAATGGCGGCGGGGCCCTCCTCCTCCCCGGACCTAGATCTCCTCTTCTTTTCTTTGGGAAAAGGCAGCAGTGGAGACCGAAGCAGCGGAGAGACGGCTTTCACCCAGCGGCGTCTCACACAACTGCAGCAGCCTGCTGCCTTTGCTCTTTCTCACACAAACCTCATCGATTAATATGAAAGAGGATCAGGGCCACTGAAAAAACGAACAATTTATCTAATATCAACATTTTATTTCAGTATAGTATGAGAAAAAAGTCAGAATTCTGACTTTAATCTCAGAATTCTGACTTTTTTCCTCAGAATTCTGACTTTAATCTCAGAATTCAGACTTTTTTCCCTCAGAATTCTGACTTTAATCTCAGAATTCAGACTTTTTTCCCTCAGAATTCTGACTTTAATCTCAGAATTTTGACTTTTTTTCCTCAGAATTCTGACTTTAATCTCAGAATTTTGACTTTAATATTAATATTCTGACTTTAATCTCAGAATTTTGACTTTTTTCCTTCAGAATTCTGACTTTAATCTCAGAATTCTGACATTTTTTCCTCAGAATTCTGACTTTTTTCTCAGAATTCTGACTGTTTTCTCAGAATTGTGGATCTTAATGTAGATGGGCACCATGAAGGAAAGATGTGAGAGCACTCAGCTTCACTGCCAAAGATGTGAGTTGTTTCGGAGGGCCAGTATTGGTGAGAAATGATGAAATCAGGAAACTTTGTATGCGCCTGAGGGGTCCCCTCATTAATGGAGGAGCAGAAGATCATTAAAACCAGAGCACTAGTCTCCAAAACAGACATGGCTACAGCCTGATGCTAACATGTTTGTTAGCTGTCAGAATTCACTCAGAATTCTGAGATCAAAGTCAGAATTCTGACTTTTTTTCCCATATTAAACTGAAATATTTAAAAATCAGCTAACTTTTTGATTGTTTTAGTGGCCCTAATCCTCTTCCGTAGATTAATCCAGATTATTATTCACATCAATTAATCTAATATCTGATTTTTGATCATTTACCTGGTTTAACCCTTTAGGGCACTCAGTGAAATCCAAATTTCAATCCAATAGTTTTATTGGAATCCAGGACGAGACCTTATTTCCTTTGTAACCAGAGGCATAGCCAGAAAATATTAATAAGGGTGGCCAGGCAATAACCAATGAACACTGAGGGGCGGCCGAAAGCGGATAGGTGCCACAACCTCAGGGTCAATCTGTTCCAACAAGAAAATGGACAATCAAAACATCCATATTTTCTAAATAAAGACAAACTATACTTTCCTACAGCCTTTGCTAACAAATAGACGCATATATTTAATTCAGCAAAGATCCTTGACATTTAACCAGTTGGATGAGCCCTTGAATGATATATTACCTATTGTAAATTAAGTTGAAGAAAAAAAGTAAAGGAAAAAAAAAAAAGATAAAAAGCTAATTGAAAAGTTAAAAAGTAAAGTTAAAAGGGAATAAGCCTAGTTAACAATTATATTTAGGTTTATAAACTAAAGAATAAGTGGCAGTATCAGCATTAAGGCCTCTAAGGTTATGCTGTACCAACAAAGTCTGTTTCTTTCACTCTCAGAGTGTTTTTCATTAATTTCTTATAGAAGCACTTTTGTATTTTTCTTAATATATTTGGGCAAGTTGCATATTTTTGGAATGTTACTACTACTGCTTTTGGCTTGAAATTTAGATTTTTAAAGTATTTCACTGTAGCCCTATAAAGGGTTAATAAACATTTAGCATAAAATTCATATTTACATGTGCTAATATCTACATTAAATGGATTAGGTATTATGAAAGTAGTTATTTATCTCTAATTTCAATGAAGATTCCTCTTTACCTCGTATAAGACAAAATCTAGTTCTGAAAATAGCAGTAATTTTGCATTTATCTTTAATATTAGTATATTGATGTGCATAATTAACCTCAGGGTTTTTGTTGTCAGGTAATTGTTTACATATAAAAAAATTAAATGTTAAATAAGTTTGAATATTCCACTTGAGAGTATTACTGCTTCCACCATCTGTATTATAGGGAAAAAATGGTAGGGGTGGCCACAGTGGTGGCCAAAGATTGAGTAAGGGTGGCCATGAACCACCCCTGGCCCCCCATCTAGCTCCACCCCCATCTGTAACATGGCCACATGCATTAACCTTGATACTGTTACTTACATTTTTTAAGTTTATAAACCTAAATATAATTGTTAACTAGGCTTATTAACTTTTTTCAACTTCATTTACAGTAGGTAATATATCATTTAAGGGCTAATCTAATTGGTCAAATGCCAAAATAAGATGTACAGCCATGTAGCAGTAGCTTTGCTAAATAGCTGGATATAGATCATGTGGCAGCTTTAATAGAGCGTTAAAAGCAAGAGGGTTAAAAGAAATTAAATATTTGCTTTGGTTCTAAAAAATCTTACTCTTGCACTATGCTTTTCAAAACGAATCCAATAATTTAAAACAGAGTGTCACAGTCTTGGTTTGTTAGTTCCTATTTTCTTGGTTTTCCATTTGTTATCCTCTGCTGCCCTCTTGTGTCCTCTTTCCCTAGCTCTGTTTTTCTGCTCTGCCCTCACCTATTTTCAATCCCCTCGTTAGCCCTCTCTTTGTTTCTGTCCCCTTTAAAAGCCTCCCTCTTCAGTTCCTGTTTGCTGGATCCTCGTCTAACGTCTGTCTGCTTTCCTCGTCTCTCCCTGGCTCCTCGAGTTTTGGTTTTCCCCTGATGTCTCCTTGGTTCTGGTGCGTTTGTTATTTTTTGTTGGATTTTTGATTCCTGCCTCAGTTCCTGTGAACATCATTAAACCCACCTAAATTCACCTCTGCCTGCCTGCTTCTGCATTTGGGTCCTCCAAACCAACACCAAAACCTGACACAGAGGCGAACATCATATTTGGGAAAACAGCAGTCTGATTTATTTACAGTACTTTAAAAGTTTTCAAATCCTGATATTTGTCCTACAGTACAATCCATTATTTTTTTATATGCTTTTTGATTTTGCTTTGACTTTGCTGCTGGACAGGTACCTCTACTTATCCCAACTGTCTGACACAAATATATACTTTTCTATTTCATGTGAGGGACTAAGACAAAGTAAAATGTTTTTAATTATCTGAAAGTGTATTTTTAGACCTCTTTGACCGGATGCCATTATTAGAAATTCAGTGGAACCTACTACTGTAACTTTAGAAATACACTTAAAGGGGAGCTGTTATGCTAGATTCAAAGTCAGTGTTGTCATGTTGTGGTGAAGATTCTCAGTCATCCAGGTCAAAGTCATTCTGAAAAAGTTCAAGTTGACTTCCCATTCATTAAGCAAAACGTCTTCAAACTTGGAAACAAAGTGCAGTGAATTGTTTTTTTTACTTTTTTGGAATGTCAATATCTGCAGGTAATGCCAATCACCTAGCAAACTCGCCCAGCCCAGATCCTTACAGGGCAGCAAAAAAAAATACATGCAGACCACACATTACTTCCTATCTCACATTGAAGTTATAATTGGAATTTGAATAAAACACAATTTAAGATGGCCATTAAAACAAAGCAAAAAATTCACTTACACTATACTACAGTGGAAAAGAAAGAGCCAGCTATCAGTTAGCATGTTGCTAATTTGCATTACAAATGCTTAGGGATCCCAGGGCTATTAGCATCTTATTTTTGTCTGATTCTTCTAAGCTAAAAGGACCAAATTGCCTCTCAAAGCCCTCTTACACAAACCATCTATTTCTAAAAACAATTCATACATAGATGTTTCTGGCTTGCTTAGATTATATAACATGATAATTAACTCAGATTACAGGAAGTTAGTATAATGATAACTTGCATTAACTTAAGTATGCTTCCCTGGAACTCCCAAACTCTTTACAGCCCTGCAGAAGTAGATTAGTTATTTACCATTCACGAACCGACTTAGACAGATTTATTTTGTCATTTTGTATACACAAGTGTAAACAAAATACATTTCATTTGAACAGTTTTCTAAACAATTTCATTTTCTTAAATTGAAGCCTTGTTAAGTTAAGCAGCAGTTGTTGCTAAGCTGCTAATACTGCCTCCAGCTCCTGAAGCACTCGCTTCTCCTGGCTCAGGGGAGGAAGAGGACGATGATGACGATGCTGTGAGGATGGTAGCCCCCTGGGTTGAAGAGGCTGATGTGGTTGAAGCAGCAGTGGTAACATGGAACAGACTGAACCCAAAATGAGAGGTCATTATACAGATAAAAACATTTCAACAGAATATACATGCATTATTTTACTGTTAGTGCCTCTCTTCCTGTCCATTTTTACCTTATCTTTCTCTCCTTTTTTACTTTCCTCTTTTTCTCAGTCTTTATATTTCTCTCCCTTTTTATCCTTGTCTTTTTTTTCCTTCTTCTTCTGTCCATTTTAAAAATCTTTCCCTCCATTGGTCTTTTCTTCCTCTCCATACCAAAAAGATTTTAAAAGTTAAAACACAATCTGGACTTTGTTTCCAGTTTTGAGGACGTTTCGCTTTCTATCCAGGAAGTTTCTTCAATTCAAAATGTGTGGATTAGCGTTGAGCTTCAGGCTTTATAGATTGGCACAAACAAAGCCTTGTTATGGCTTAGAAAACATGCATATTGAACCGAAAGAACAGGTCCACCTCTTAGTAATGGGGAGTCGTTAAGGTCTTTGTTATCCTGCAATACCCAATACTGGCCTATGCGTCTGAAAAAGTGAGTCATTAGGATCGTTGTTGGCCTGGCTGACCAGGTGAGATATTTTGGTCTCATGGCGATGAGGAATGAGATGATAGACTATGACCGAGATGACTAAGAATCTTCACCAGCAAACTTCTTCTACATATTTTATTTCATGCCTTTTTCTATTGCTTTTTGAGTTGTCTCTCTTTTCCCCTAACCTTTTTACTTGCTATTCTTATCAAATAATAATATATCTAAGTAGGAGACCCATGCAGTGACTTAAGTAGTGGAAATTCAATGTGAGAAAACTAAGGAAAACACCTTAACGTTTTTTTTCTGATCCCCTGTATGATTTATAAACAAAAATTTGAAGCTTATATCAAAATGACGATAAGCTTCCCGACTTTAATGGCATACAGAAATACTT